TATTAATTAAAAAAAATATTTTAGCTTACAGTCAGGCTTATCCATGCCAAAATAATTTGTTAAAAGCTTTTCTTTTCTCAATTTCTTTTTTTTAAAGACCATCTTTTTAGTTATAGCACTTCATATACTTTGATAAATTAAGGTTATCAATTAGATGTATGCATTTTTTCTCTCTCAATATTTATTTTAAATTAAGAATATCTAACTCATGATTTAAAAAACAAAAAAAATAATCATAGTCGATTACAAAATGTTTTAATTCATATCGATGTGATTAACAATCTTTTAATAAATTTCGTTGTCGAAAATGAGTAATAAAGATTAAAATGAAGACTATAATTAAACTGACAAGTTTTCTTATCGAAAATAATTAAACAAAAAAGAGTAAAATAACCTTTTAGCCAAATGATTTTGCTCAAAAGAAGAAAAAGCTTGTTTTGCGTTATCGCCTCGAACTTCACCAAATTTCTCATGTCGCATCTATTTGTCATTCTTCCTCTTCAACCTTACATTTTACCAGATAAAACATCCTTTGCTATTCAAACCGACGTAGAAAAAAAAAACTTTTTCATTTTTTTTTCTAACTGTCATCACCAAAGAAAATTTTTTATTCTTATCTTTTACATAAATATAACATTAAATAATACAATGAATTTATTTCCTTGAGTAAATAAAATACAAGCGACTAAGAAAAAGAAAAAGAAATCATATGCATATTATAAATCATATCCGAATTGCATAAAGATAAGATCCATTGTGCGCTCGTCACCAAACATATCACAAAAAATAAATAAATAAATCAACACTTGAAAAAAAAATATATAGTTTACATGTTTTGGAAGACGAAAAAGCGCACAAAAATAAAAACGAATTGAATTAAGAAAAGGAGGTATCAATATGTAAATATGCACGTGGTACACGTCCTCGTTCTTTCGTATGCGGTCTTTCTATTGTTATCCAATCTGCATCATTAGATAGTTTTTCATTATTATCTGGAATAATATTTACGGTCTAAAAATAGAAAACAAAAACAAAAAATAAAATATTTTAATTTTCTTTTTTCTTTTTACTTCTTTTGCTAAAACACTTAGTTCATTATGATCTGATGCATCATAATCAAATTTAACAATTGCAGTACGTGGTGTTTGCATAGTACGAGGTGTTGATGGAGCAGTAGATGAATTTACTGTTAATTTTGTTAAACTAAATTAAAAAAATTATTTTTATTGAAATAAATATATATTTTTTTTTTGTAAAATATTTACCCAAGTTGTTTACGTAAATCTTCAAGTATTTGAACAGATTGTCGATGATATTGTAATTCAGATTCAATTAAATCATTTAAACAACGTAAATGATGATTCTAAATAAAAATGAAATAATTCTTTTCAATGAAATTATTATTTTTAAATATATATAAAATATACATGTGAATTATTTAATCCATCAAGCATTAAACGAGTTATTTCTAATTGACGATCGAATTCGGCTTGTGCATGACGTAATTCAATATCTGAACTCTTCAAAAAAATAAAAAACAAAATAATACTATAGGATTTAAATTTATAAATATTTATTTAATATTTACATCGGCCATTGCTGTTGTTGCAGTACTATTAGTCATTTTTGACTTTTTCTTTTTGGATTTTGCTGCATCAAGATCAAGACGTTTCATTTCTAATGTACGACGTTCTTTCTAGATTTAATTAATTTTTTTTTTGTTTTTTATAAAAATATTTATAATTTTTAGAAATATATTTACTGTTAATGACTTCATTTCACCATCGAGAAAACTTTTTAATGGTTGCATAAAACTAGTAGCTACGGAATGAATAAATTCTTTATGAGCAAGACCTAATTTTTGATGAAATTGACCACATTTAATCAATGCGGAACCTTAATAAAATATGAAAATTTAAAAAAAAAAAAAAACAATAATAAATTCTATTTTTGTTACCATATTGTGTTGATGGACCAAAATCATTTCCTGCTTCACACATACAATGACCAAGTTGTTCATGAATATTTGGTTTATTTAAACTTTTTTGATCAAGTTTTGTTAGTATAAATTCTTCAAGACGTTCATCTATGTAAGATAAATAATATGTTTTGATAAGTGAGACGAGAAAAGCTTCTTACTAATATTAGGTTGAAGAACAGTTTCAACATGCGATGCTAATCGTTCCGTCCATATTTTTGTTCGATCAGCTCGTGCTAACATTTCTTCAAAAGTATCATCATATTCAGTTCGATCAGTTGCTTGTCCGAGCTTTTCTTCAGTAAACTAAAATAATGATATTCTCGAATGATACATCTATGTATATATATTTAAATATCAATACAAACTATACCTGTTTGGCTCGGGAAAGTAGAGTACCTGCTGCTTTCAAATTGAAGTTCATACTGTTTCTTCAATACTCGTCGATGTCTATGACTATATAGTTATGTATGTATGTGTGTGTGTGTGTGTTTGGGTTGCCGGAAGACGAGTAGGGAGAGCGAGCAAGCGTGTGAGCATATACACACTCTCTCACATAGATTTACTGAGTTTGACTTGTTGCTTGGCGTCTAGAGTAAGCAGAAAAAACGAGAAACCCCGGAATAAAAAGAAAAAAAAGAAAAAAAAACGAAGGAATGGCATTTCCAGATGTGGCGGGGAGGAGAAAAACTAAGACGGCAATAGCAAGTCGATCATTGTATTTTACTCAAACCCGGCACGATACATTGGGCGAATAGATAAAAAGAACGAAGAAGGAAGAGAAAATCAAGAGAACGACGAAATGATGTGGGATTTAATTTTGTTTCGTTCTATCCTACTTTTACTCCTTATTTCATATTGTTCTTCAATGTACCATTACCAAAAAGAAATGCAAATGAAGTGGTATTTTTGATGTTAATAGCTATTGAACGCTTATTTCAAGTGGTTAATGCTACTATCATAAGAAGAAAATAAGCAAAAGAATCAGCAAAAAAAAAATGAGAAAGAAAAGACAAACATGAATATTTATTGACTTAAAGTAAAGTTTGTGAAACATTTTATTTCTTTTTTCTTGCAAGTATTCAAGTGAAAAAAAAAATAATAGATTTTATTAATTTTAGCATCAAATAATACAGAATTTAATTCTTTTACAAAATCTTATTCGAGTTAATCTGAAATGATTGAACAAATCGATTTTATATAGGATTTCATTATAAGATTAAGTGAATAGTTTCTATATCATACACAAATTGTTTTTTTGTTTTCAAGGTTCTTGTCAAATTCTAAACTAGTATCTAAGAGGCTTTGGATTTATAATTGGATTGCATGACAAATATTCTTTCAAAATTATCGCTAAGTGTTTAATATTAATCTATATTTACGTTAATAGACATCGTCTGCATGACTATCAAGACCAAAAAACATCATTTTTGTTTTTATGGTATTCAAAATTTTTCTAGAAATGATTTGTTCTATAAAAAATTATTTCAACTACAGATAAGACATCCAAGTAAAACTTGAGCATCATTTTATTCTTAGAATACTTATTTTGAAGACACGTCATCTAAAGAAGACAGGACAACTTTTCTTAACATATCGCATGTTTTCTAATTCGTATAATGCATATTAATAACTTTTATATTACATACAAGCGATGGACCTTTTCGAGTGTTATCTATCAAGGGATTTTAGTTTGAAAAAAAAAATATTCTTTGACATAAAAGTCATAAATTACTAAAATTTGTATTACGACTTGATATTTTGACATATATGTATGCTAAATTATATTGAATTTATGGATGTGATAGGAGTAATTCCAAGACAAAAGAAATTAATTGAAGAGTAAATAAATTTTTAAACATAAATTTTCTTTTTTATGGATAATCATTTCGAATAGAAATAAAAAAAAAAAGAAATCGATATTAATTTTAAATTAAAAATAAAATTTCGATAAACATAAGTAAATATGATATTTTTTGATAATTTAATTTTGAACTTAATAATAAAGACTGTGGTATCGATATTTCATCTAAACTTGTTTCTGGTTTTGTTGATTTTGTCAAAGTATCAATCCAATCAATATAAGCACTTACTCGAGTATAAATACCTAAAATAAAAATAAAAATAATCAAAATAGAATTTGCATTGTTAAATAGAAAATTATTAATGACATTTTTTGTTATTTGTGTGTTTCTTTGATGTCCTTTGTATTCCTCTATTCTCAAGTAATCAGACAATAGGAAATACAATTAGATTATTCTCAAAGGAAAGCTACGAGCAGACACACAAACACAAAGAATTTGGCAATTTTCATACCCGGCTTCATAGATTTAGCACATCCTACACCAAATGAAACAAGTCCAATTAATTCATATACTCCTTGTCCAATATCAATTACAAGTGGCCCACCAGAATCACCTTGACATGAATCTTTACCGCCATTATCATATCCTGCACATACTTGTTTTGATGGTTCCGTAACTTTTTCTTGACATCCTTTATTAGTTGTGATTGGTACTGCAACTTGCATTAATACTTGAGAAACATGACCTTGAAATTGTGTTGTACCCCATCCTACTACCCATCTAAAGGATAAGAATTGATTGATATTTTTTATTTTATTTTATCATTCTAATCATACGTTTCTTTTCCTATTGGTGGATAAGCTTCACCGTCATGAATATGTTTTAATGGAAGACATATAAAACCCAATTGACTATTATTAAAATCAACTGTTCGATCAAGTTCAACAAGTGCTATATCATTTATATTTTTTCCATTGCTATTATACAAAGCATGAAGTACAATGCGTTTTGCTTTTGAGACAAAATATTTGTCATGTATACCATGATGACCGATTGCAAATGAATAATCTTTATTTTTACTTGGATGATATGAGGGAAAACAATGTGCAGCTGTTAATATATGTCGATTGGTAATCAGAACACCACCTAAGAATAATATATATGAACAAAATCATTTGTTAGCTACGTTACTTTCCAATATTAAATCTAGGATCCTACAACCGAGTCGAATATAGCATAGGAATGAAAATCGGTTTGATCATGATCGAACAATTTATTGTACTTGAGAACAGATCATAGAAATGGAAAGTGATATTGTTTTACGAAGAGAATTCGTTTTTAATGTAAGTTCATCTATAGATGAAGGGAAACTATATGACACAGTAAGTGAACAATGATGTTTGACATAAACATTGAGTTTCATTGCAGCGTTATCATCAGCAAGCAAACGTATATTTAGCGAAATTGTTCGGATTTTAGAAACCGAAAGACATCTAGTGAATCTTGAATTACTTGCTTTTAATAGAACTTGAGATCATCTCTCCTTTTTGTTAATCGACTTTTACTTCATGTATTTTAGTTTTAAAAAAATCTGGATTGAGATACAACTAAATAGTACATTCTAGAGATCACTCCTGGGGCTACAAATTTACTTTTTGTTAGCGCCGTGCTAGAGTACGAATATTATTTTCAAAGAAATAATCTCTCTAAAGAACAAAATTCAAATGAAAGGTGAGTATGTTCCATTCTGTCTAAAATGGCCCGTATATATACATATACATATGTGTCGTTTTCATATAACAGAACATTCACTTTTTACCGCATATATGTCCACCAGATTTTCGAACACTGACTATCCACTGAAAACAAAAACATTTGGTTTTTCTTAATGACAGTTTCATTTTTTAAGCTTACTGGCCAACTATGTGGTATTGCTTGTATACCGCCAACAATACGATGATGTGTTGATGGTGATGTTTGAGCGCAACCACATTGTTTTGGTGACCATTGACATGAATGAATATGAGATATAAATAAAAATAAAAATTTAATAGTTAAATGGATTATATAAGACATAGTTATTCTATTGTATTGTAATATGTTCAGTAGATAATTAAAAGTGAATGATGATTCATCTTATTTAACAATTGTTAAAGCTTTTTTCGAACATAGATCTTGTTAAACACAACTTTGAATTGTATGCTTGATCATCTGAATACTTAAATTCAAAGAAAAAATTTTGTAACATAGAATTCTGATATGTTACAAGACACTTAGCCTTGAACAACATATATTTATTTATTGTCTCGAAAATGAGTGATGACATTTATTTACGAATGAATGATTACTACTTAAGTACGCTATTGCGTCCAATTAGATCATCATCAATAATATTCAGAAGTATACGACTACATTGAATAATACAATAAAAACAAAAAAATCAACATATCATATTTTGATATTTATTAAATATCCGTTTCAAATATTGCTAGTTATACAAAATTCAATTGATTTTTTTATCAGTAGTATATGTTTCATCGAAATTGTTTTGTTCGTTTTAATCCTTAATCTCGTTCCACGAGTGATCATTGTAGAATGATTGCAGAAAGCAAAGAAAACATGAAATTTATCTTGTAGTGAAAGTGAACACCATAAGCTATCAATTGATAAAACAAAAATTTCTTTTTTGCATCAATCTGTCTCTGAAAATGATCAGTTACAAAATTGATCATGTTGGAAAAACTAAAAAAAAATTGGATTTTTTAAGTAAAATATTTCTTTTACTAACAGAGAAGATCCATGATAGGAACGTATCATGTGTTGTCTAATGATGGTCGTTACTACTACTGATATCAATATCATTCGAAAATTTCAGAAAAACGAAATAGATCAGAGACGATAAGAGCTAGAATGGTAACTAGGAAGTTTCTGGTAAATCAGATCTCTAGTTATCTGCTACTGTTACATATAATGATAGAGTAAAGAAGTTCATCAGATTAGGGAAGATCTCCCGCAGAATGTTTGTCAAGTGAATCTATCCATACTATTGACATATTTGAGACACCAATATTCTCAAGAAATAAAAATTTCGATATACATAGTTGACTCTACACTTCATATTCATGGTAAGCACTACCTCAATTAATACTTCTCAATGTTCATAATAAATTAAGTTCTTGTAGTTTCAACAGAGCTGATGTTAAATACTTTTTGTTCAGAGCAAAAATATTAACAAAGACTTGAAAAACCAAACATATAATAGAATTTAATTGCTTATTACATTATGCAACAGTGGGATTCGAAAGTGATTTGATTTTCTAAAAATTTTCTTTTTTATTCTTATTTATTTTATTTTACAAAAACACAGAAAAATATTACTTTAGAAAGCCTTTTTTTAATGATGAAAAGCCTATTACACTAGAAAAAGACATTTCAATAAAAAAACTTTTATTTGATGATCAACCTTCTTTTAAAGTAATGTTTCATCCAGAAACATAGATTTTTCTGAAAAGATATGTAGAGATATTTTTTTTCAATATGCATTGTGTCTGTTTCATTTCCTGTCGAATCCTCAAAGTGGAACCATCGATCTGGGCGATGACAAGATGCAAGGTATCACTGATGTATACCTCTTATTTTTCAGTACACTAGGTACGGTGGTAAACGATAGTGTATTCTGCCCTGTGCGTCAGAATACCATCGTCTTACGATACGGATATTAGTGGAAACGACACGATATCATAATGTCGTCATCCTGTCTCTACGAAATAGGTAATTTACGGTCCTTGTATGATCATCGTAATCCTAGATCTGAATCAACAGCTTTACAGGTGATTCTTGCAAATAGAAATCGAAACTAAATTAGTTTACTGACATTAGAGCGATTCAAGCAGCTTCTGAAGTCTGTGCAAATCGTTTGAAGTTGCTGAAATCTTAAACTCTTGAAGCACTGAGAGAAGCAATATTCTTCATAGCATCAAGTCATTTTTATTTCAAAATACATCTATATATCTAATACATCGCCAACATGGCTAACACGGCTGGAGTAAAGGAAGAAATAAACAAGAAATAGATTTTCCTTTAGTAGAAAAATTTCAACTAAGGATACTGTTGACACAAAAAGGCTTTCCATTATAGTAATAAACTTATACTATTTTCTGTAACAATTCATGCGTATCTAGTTTCTTTTTTGATAACGATAATGCCAACATATATATAGTTGTGTAACATTCTCGAATAGCTGGTAGTAACTCAATGATAGATGCGAAACATGGCCAAATTGATTGCCTTGTCGATCGTTATAGATAGGCACCATCTGTATGCAAAATCAAGGTGAGCATGTTGGAGTTTAATGTTGATCTTGTGATTAGATCTATAACTAGAGTCAGTTCATATATCAGATACTGAAAAAAGAATTTTATTGTGTCACTAAATTAATTATTCAATTGATAATTATTTTTAATTGAGTACGAATGTTGAGTGTAACTATATCTAGAATTTCATTTGTTTTTAATGTTCATTTAGATCGTCGATAATAACCGTTTGTACCTACTTTTGTATTGAACATTGTCTTCTCACATAGTTTATGATAATTGTGCTTGTCCAAGCAGTTTGATTATGGCTCTCCACATTGTAGGTAATGCATTTCGATGTGGTAACGGTGATTTTATTATTTTCAACGAACGTATCATGTTTTTTGTTTATCCAAGCTAATACTAGATATAAAAAATTGATTAATATTTTCATTGAATAGATGCTTGAAAATCTTCTACCAATGTACAATGGTGGTGAAGGGTGGGAAGAAATATCACGACTATTGTTCTATGCTCTAGTGCTATCATATTCATCGCTATGATGCTCTTTATAAAACCATACATCTTTATCAAATACTGAACAAATGTTGTGAATCATGCAAATTGTTTGCTGTACACTTTGATTATAATCATCATTTATGTTTTCACAGGCACCTGTATTTGACGTATCCGAATTATTGCTATACTTTTCTTTTTTGGAGCATATCTACAAGAAGATATATCAAGAATAAGCCATACATATATGTGCTACACTAAAAATCACAAGAAAACGAACTATTAACCAATCATGTTAAAGACCTAACGACTACTTATAACATCATGTACTCCTCTATAACTAGGTCAAAGAAATTCAAGAAAAGTATAGATCATTTAATACATATAGGTCGCGCATCTTGCAATAAATATGTGTGTGCGTGGATGAAAAGAATGTGAATAGTTTAAACAACTCTGTTAGCCAATAGAAAACAGAGAAGCGCTCTCTATATAATAAAATTATAATGTGTATATTTTTCTGCAAACGAACTGTGAAAGTCATAGAACAGAGCCAATTAAAATTATAGAAATCTGAATTGATTAATTTTGAAAACTATTAACACGCTTTCTTATTACTATTTAATTTTTTCACCTATGCAATGGACTCGATGTAACTGTCGATTGATCGCGATTAACGGATGGTTTTTGGGTAAAAACAACAGGAAACATAGATCCATAAAACAGTTCTTAATTAGCCTATACGAAACTTCTCCTGGAAGCATGACAGGATTTTCTGGTACTTTGTGAGCAATACCCCAATGTGTCAAGAGGATTGCGAGGAGTTTCCACAACAATCAAGTACAAAATTTACAACTTCTGTAAATTTTTGCAAACGATGCCCTTTATTGTCGTATTTGCGTGATCCTCTCGGAAGTAAAGGTAGGTATTTGAAAATGAGAGTAGATGCCTAATTCGAGTTCGAAGATAAATGGAAAATCGAAAAAAAATCGGACCCATCTTACATCCGCAAAAAAGAAAAACATAAATTTTATCCTAATTATAAATTTATAATTCGCATAGGTCACCCCTGTTGGAGGGTGAAAAAAAGTGAGCTCCAAAGTGTGTAAACTGCAAATTTCGGTATGATGGAAAAAGGAAGAGAAGAAAAATGTCGAAAGACTAATCGTCGAATAGAAAAAGAAAGAGCGAAAAATATCGAATAGAAGAAATACCATATTCCGATAAATAGAGTACCTGGTCCTAATTCGATCACCACTTTCAGTACTTATTAGAAAAAAAGATATACATTTTCTCAACAAGGTCCGTTTGAACTCGTTTTAGTTTCTGGGATAGAGTGATTGACACTTCACATTTCTGCCATTTTTTTTTCAAAATTAACTAAGCTGTAATGAACAGTCATGATTACAAAAATGCTAATTGACATTTTTGTTCGCTCTGTCGCTTTCCTAATGTGGTTACTACAGCTATTTCTTTTCCCTAATTTGATCACGTAATAGAAAAAATGTTTGAAATTGCAGTAGATTATCGAAAAAATATGGTAGCGCTACCCGAAGTACAAAATTCCGACTCAGTGTTGGAACAAAAATGTAGCGCTGATCGTCAACTATCTGTGGAGATGATGAGTCTTTTGGGGAACTCATAAGTGTGTTTCTTCAACACAGAAGAGAGAATGATGAAATGATCGTATTAACACTTCAAGACGTCTGTGAAAGTCAGTATAATTCTTTTACAATCGAGCTTTTGAATTAAGAATACAATGCGCGATCTAAGTTACATCTTTATCACTGGGACAGTGGTCAACTGACTTATCGTTCATATGTTTATGTTTTTGGCTAGATTTTGATGTAAATGGAAAGAGAAAATCAAGGACTTATTTGACCGACTATTTTATTCTGAATTCATTTGTTTTCTATTGCACTAATTCAAATCTTTATTAGATACTTGTTTAGATTGTATTTGTAAAAAATGTCCAAAAAATATTCGAAACAACAACTTCTTGAAGCGTTAAAGAGTGGTTATGATTCGAAAACAACAGGTAAAAAATTTAATGTACCTGCAAGTACAATACGCCGCCATCGACGTAACCATTCATTGAAAGCTGATGGCGGTCGGCAAACTTATCTAACAAGTGATGAAGAAGCATATTTTGTTTCAATTCTCCAACTGCTTCCTGACTTCGGTCTTAATGTATCAAGTGAAACTACGTTACAATTAGCAAATGATTATTGTCAATCATTGGGATTATCACATCATCCAGGTGAGAAGTGGCTTCGATTATTCAGGAAAAAGCACACAAATGATATAATATGGAAACGAGAACAAAGAATGGAACGGTTTCGGGCTGAAGCACTTAAGGGAAAATGTGCGTGCAGACTGTTTCTTACTTTTCAAAGATGTTATGACAAAATACAACCTATTTCATAAACCTCAACAGTTGTTCAACATTGACGAAACAGGTTTTAGCGATAAAACTAAAGGTGAGTGGAGCTGCATTGGATGTAACATCTGTTGTATTTTTATTTTTATACTAGGCAACTGGGTTATTGTCAATTCAAATCGTCGTCATACTCTTGAGTCTGGTGGAGGAACAGGAAAAAATTATTTTATAGTCTTAATTGCAATTAATGTTGATAGCTTTGTGCTTATCCCATTTGTAATTTATGGCGGACAACATTTGATGAACAGTTGGTGTTGTGGAGAGCCACCTGGAACAGTTTACGGTATTACAGATAAAGTAAGATTATTGCCTCAAGGATATGTTTTAGTATTTTGCATTATTTCATTAGTGCTGATCCGTTTGATATATTGTAGGGATGGTAAACAGAGAAATGTTCAAATATTGGCATAGGAATATTTTTATTTCGTCAACTTCACATTTAAGCAGACCATTATTGTTAGTAATGAATGGTTATATATCACACATCAGCCTTGACATTATCAGTTTGTTGAAAAATAACAGTATTATTTGTCTTATCCTCTCACCTCACTCATCACATGGCCTGTAGCCATTAGACTTGGTTTTTTTGATTCAGTTAAAAATGACTGGATGAAAATCATGAAAAATTATCTACAAGAAGGAAATAATACTTTAAGAAAAAAGTGATTTTCCACGACTGCTAAAGAAGCTATTTGTTGAGAAGCCTGTGTTTGTTCCATCTCGAATAGTGGCATCTTTTTGTCGGTCATGTTAGCAATAATATTCATTTGTTTATTACATTTTGTTCATTTTCTACGAACAGGAGTCTGACCTGTTAACGAGCAGGCCATGAGAGATAAGGTAGTTCGAAAATACAACAATTCGTTCATTACAACTTCTAATAAAGAACAACTAATTCCATGAAATATTCTTATGTCTCATTCTCAATCTACTTAAGTATATCTTCAACTTCTTCTTCTTGTCTTTCAATGTCTTCGAATTTTTTACCCAATCAGCAATCAACAACGTTCTGAAGCTCTTCACTCAATCAACCACCATCAAGTATTTTACAAACATCATCTGATTCTTCAAATAATTATCCATCACTTGGTTCTTCAAATAGTAATCCATTATTTATTTCATCTGAAGGACCAACTTAATTTATTTTACCTTCACCAACTCAACAGACAATTGTTGATGATGATATTCCATTATCTTTGTATGCTGCATCATACGTCGATCTTCAACCATATCCAATGGATCTTGCTGCTGAACCAACAATACCAAAAAATACATATGATGCGTTGTGAGACTTTACCCGAAAACTCAATTAAGCATCGAGGAAGGAGATATGGAGATATAGAGATATTGGATATATTCATTAACTAGTGCAGATAATCTTTATATAGTATTTGACTTTTAATAGCGATCCATTCAGATATATTGATTCAACTTGCCGATCCTTGCTCGAAAAAGTGGATCATAAAAGATAAATCACTGTTTACTATGTCTCCTATATCTCTATATCTCCTATACCTCATATACTAGTATTTAATGCAGTTCCCGGGAATACTCTCCGAACGCATCTAATGAAAAAATACATCTTTAATTAATGAAGAAGAAACAAAAAGTTTTGTTGCCAAGATTCAATTCATAGATGTAAGATTTCATTTATATTTCATTAGCTTCACCTTGTAACTGACAAATGTTGACTAATTTAGTTTTTGATAATCATGCTTCATCAACTCCTATCGTTGCTGTTCGTAATGTTATCAATACTCTTTTATCTCAACGTGAAAATCAATTGTCTACGTACAATTCAACTTTACATCGTTGTCGTGGCTCACGGGGATGTGGGTGTGGATTGTGAGAATATCTAATCTAGACTCACATCCACATCCCACACCTCACACCCCATACCCCACACCCCACACCCCACACCCACACCCTCAAACCAATATCAAGAAGTTTACATCTGACTCAAAATTAGTCGAACACACTCAACTAACGCGACACAAGTTCGACTTTTCACAAGTAGAAACCTTCGCACGGGAAAGCAATTGGAAAAGGAGTATAATCAAAGAATCTCTTCTAACGATCTAAACAAAGGGAAGAGCAATTAACGACACAAAACGTTCCATTCTCGTTTTTCGCTAGCCGCATTAGGGGCATTTTTGTGACAAGGTATTCTGATCTGATCGTTTGACCAGATGAACGACCAGATGAGAATCATTCAAATTAGTCCAATTAACCAATACTCGTGCCTCATTCTGTCTTGTATATATTCGTTCACAAACTAACAAATATCATTCCTGATGATGCCCTTTGAAAAAGTGACGAAAGCTTGAATCATTATATCTATTTTTTTTTCAATAAACATTTAGAATAAATATATATCGTAGCGGTCTTATACTCACTCTTTCGTATTATATTTCCAACTGCTCTACCAAATAACTGGTTTTTTTATATAAAGGATTTTCGAGAATAACCTATATTTATTTCATCGCTCTGTTAAAACAAAATATCACATATAAGATATATATAATCAATCATAAGCTGAGTAATTATTCACAACTCATTTTATTTTTGTGAATACTTGATTATATGAGTTTTGAACATACCCTACACAAGCAAGCAATTAAAATTTACACTCAAAAAATAATGATCTATGCATACATCGAACAGGAGCTTGTTTTATGTTGATCAGTATTAGGAAGGGAGAATCTAATCATCTGAGCTATATCTAGGAGTATAGATCTGAAGTCTCTCTATCTAATGTCTATGTCAACGTCAAAAATCCATTGGGGCTGTACAGTATTATTATGGATTTTTCAGAGAGACTTTCAAAAATGCTTGGCTAGATAACGATTTCACCTTGGATAGTATTATATCAAAACACATCCTAACTGAATCTCTTCCGATTAGTGAAAACCGCAAGTCGCTAGCTATTGTCGTTTTCGAGTTATTCGTCTTACACCCACCTCTACTTAATTCTGACTCCGACAATAGTTGAATAAAAATCATTTTTACCAATTGTCGATTAGCTTATTGCTCAGCAAAAATATCTGTAATATTTCTTAAAAACTAGTGCCTTATGTATTTATAGTGATAGTTAAAACCTTCCTTCACCACGTGAATACAGTGTATGACGATGGAGAGTGAAGAGAAAGATTTTCAACCTTTCATAGAGGAAAGAAGAATGACGAATAGTGACGTTATTTTTTTCGCTCGTTATACCTTGTTATCAAGGCGATGCTTTTTGCTCTTTCTTCATCCATCATTCTTTCTTCGTTGTTTGTCTGACTTTTTTGCTGAGTAATGAATAGATAAGCACATTTGATTCTTATATAAATAAACGTTTTCTCATATCTGAATTCATACAAAATGTCTTCACAACAAATTAATATTTTGTTGACAGGTGCAACTGGCTACATTGGAGGCTCCGTTCTGACTGGCCTTCTTCAACATCCAAATACCTCGAACTTCAAAATAACCGCTCTGATTCGTGGTGATGAAAGTAGAGCGAAGAAACTTGTATCGCTTGGTGTTATTCCTCTGATTGGTTCCAATAATTCACACGATCTCATCGAGAAAGCAGCAAGTGAATCACATGTGGTAATTCATACAGGCGATTCAGCTGATGATCTTCCATCGGCTAGAGCAATTATCTCTGGCTTGAACAAACAAACTGAGACAACAGGAAAACCTGTTATTTATATTCATACTAGTGGCACTGGTGTCCTTATTGAAGATGTTCGTGGCAAGAAAGGATCAAATACAGTCTACAATGATCTTGATCCCGACCAGATCAATAGTTTAGCCGATGAACAGATACATAGAAATGTTGATCTCTTAGTAATTAACTCAGCAGACGTCAATCCTCTATTGAAGAGTGTCATCATTCTTCCGCCTCTCATATATGGCATCGGCAAAGGACTGTTCAATCAGACTTCCATTCAACTTCCGATATTGATTCGCGCTGCTTTGAAACGAGGCAAGGTCGAAACGATTGGAGCAGGTGAATCGACATGGGACAGTGTTCATATCGACGATTTAGTCGATGCTTACATTATTCTTTTCGATCAACTTCTTGCTGCCTATGGACCTAATGCCAAACCAGATGCGAAACTCAGTCCATATTTAACTACAGGACGTGAAGGCTACTATTTTGCCGAAAATGGACGCCATTCGTGGCGACAATTGGTCGAAAAAATTGGTGAAGTTCTTCATAAGAAAGGCGCTATCAAATCGTCAAAAGTCACGAGCTTTCCCGATGATGAAGTAGAAGGTGCTCTATGGGGTCCAGCAAGTTGGAACGCGCTCGGAAGCCAGTCGAATTCCAAGGCCGAAAGATTGCGCAAATTGGGATGGAAACCACATCGACCCAATCTGTTCGATAGTGTTGAAGAACAAGCTGATGTATTGATCAATGGTGTGAAGAATTAATACTCTTTGAGAAATTGTATTCAGGACAATTCATTTTTATGAAATCTTTGCGCATAAGATAAAAACTATCTGGTCATCACATTTTCTTATGCATTTCTAATTCAATCTAAATATATATGAAAATGAGATTTCATAGGACAATTTTGAATAAACGTTATGTGAAAAAGATACATAAAAAAGTTCTGATACTTCATTGACAAAAAGAAATTGATGAAAAGTGTCATGAGAATTTACTGAATACAAAAGCGTAACATGACCATGGTGTTATAAGAATAAAAATGAGCAACAACTACAAATTCTTCCATGCATTGCACGTCATTTCGAAATGAAACCATGCTAAAGCTTTTTCTTTTCAAGCGTTCAATCAAGTGTACTTCGATGAAGTTTTGTCAAAAAATATATTTAATTTTCTCATCAATTAAATAAACTGACCTTAATTCTATAATGAGAATAAAAGCCTCTTGTTTAATAACTATTAGTTGAATAATAAGCAAAAATAAAAAGCTTAATTTTCTGAATTGTAATATCTGTTCATAATCGTAGCATTCATTTTAAGAAAATGTAATTGATCATCATCTGATATTTGTTCAATTGATTATCGAAATAATTCTACTTTCTGCTAACGAGGGAACCTCCCGAGGTGTAACCTCCCGTTTTGATTCATTTATATCTCATTTAAGTGAGCATATTGAGATAGTAAATACCCTAAAAGGATTTGGGTTCCTGCTTCTTCTATCAAG